TTCCTTTGGTGTCCGCAATGTTGGTTACTTCACCTCCTGCTCCATCGCCTGCACCCGAAGACCAATCCGCACCAGAAGCCATGGCAACAACTTCAAGTACACCAAACAATTCTGCAACCGATCGCACAGAACTTCTGCGTTCTAAGCCCGTTGTTGTTGGGAGATTCATGCAGCTTACAGTGCCTATCCTGATCGATGTTTACGCTGCGAGTGTAAATACTCCGGTGAGAGTAAAGACACTGACTGGTTTACTCAAAGCTGCTAGCTTCCTTGATGCAGATGGTTTGAAACAGGTCTTGACGGTAATATTAATCTGCTCGATTGAAGAACCCACCACTGACTCTTCATTCCTAGTTCGTACCTGTTGCGGGTTTTGCATCCTCAATCCTTTCATCTCGAGATCATCCTACGTTAGTCCTCGGCGCGTTACAGTTAGTAGATCTCCTTTTGTCCAAGGTGCCTTCTTTGTATAAGCCTACTTTCCGGCGGGAAGGAGTCTTCCATGAAATAGAAACTCTGGCTGCCCGGACTTTGGCTTCGTCAAAATTGAAGGAGAAGGCAGAGAAGGCAGAGAAGGAAAAGGAGAAAGAGAAGGAGAAGGAAAAAGAGAAGGAGAAGGAGAAGGAAAAAGAGGAGGAGAAAGGGTCCTCGGATTCAGGGACCCCCGATGTCACCGCCTCAGCTATCGCTTCATCATCAACCTCAGCACCGATTATTCCTGGATACAAAAGGCTTGCATCTCTTGCGCTGGACCCAGAGGACGCTATCACTATGCGTGCTCGGATCATGAAGTTTAAGTACTTGTCGGGCGATGATCAGGCTGAAAGTGATCACACGCTCCAAGCCCTGAAAACCCTCGTCGATCGTATCAGCCCTACAAATGCGACTGAACAAGAATTATCTGAAGCGTTATGGGATCTCACCACCCTTTTCGCATCCCCACACACATCTGTCTCTAGCTTTGAACTACTACAAAGCGGTCTCGTGGATGGCCTACTCAAATTTGCGACTGATACGGATCGGAAAGGTGACTATTTTCAGATTGCACATAGACTTAGATATTGAACATGTCCTCCACAGTATCCGTCACTCGGCGCAAAGAAATTCTCCTGGATGCTCTGGTTAATCGGAAAAGCAGAACCTTGTCAAACTCGCAGACACCTTTCTCCACATTTGTGAAGAAGTTGCAGGAAAGTTTCACCAGAATGGAGTCTTTTGACGTGATTACTGTATCTCAAGGATCTGACGGTCAGTATTGACACATCGCTCTTCATATCAGTTTGGTTAAACTCTTCTCAGATTCTAAACGCAGCTCCCCTTCATTACTCGCACGACAATTGCGCCTTCGCTTAACGGCAGAGGATGATTCGGGCGTTCCTCGAAACCTACAGAACATCGTCGTTTCGATCCATGCTATTGCAACCTTCCAAGCATTACATGACTATCTCCGTCCAAGGGTAGCAGGTGTGTTGAGCGGAGGTGGCTCACGACTATCAGGCATGTTGGCTGCTCTGGCAGCTTCAGGATTTCCGGGATCGTCAAGAGCTGGTGGGTCTTTGGGAGAACCTAGCAGAGTAGATCCTTCCCCACCATCATCGGCTCCGGTGCCAGAATCGTCCACTTCACAAGACGATAGTGCAAGCGCTACGATAACACGTCGACGGAGTCAACGTCTCAGCGCGAAGAAGGCCGCTTCAACTTCGACTGCCCCTGTGGTTGATGATCCTACGGTGGACACTCCCAATCCCGATGTCGACATGCCATCCACAAGCAGCACTGCTATTGATTCAGAGATGCCCCCACCTCCTCATGCACCACCTGATTCAGCGGCTAGCGATCCTATGATTGATCTTGAACCGCATGCTGATTTTTCGGATGATGAAATAGATGCAGAAGTGTTCGACGAGGAAGAGGTTGATCCTGATCAGTCAATATCGGACAAGACTGTCACATTGTCTGTAGCGGAAGATGGTTCCAAGGTTGAGGCTCAAACTCCCGACGGGACGCGTGTAGCTACACCGAATCCCCTCATGTCTATGAATCCATCCGCTTCATCGTCGTCCTCGGCCAAACCTTCCACCTCCTCTAGACCGTCTTATGCTTCTGCTTTGAGAGCGAAACCTACGGACTGGCATCTCGAATTTGCCATGGATGATCATGTTCTTCCCTTAGATCTAACAATCTACGGGGCTATTCATCAACATGAGATGAGAAAGAAGACGGGAGCTACACCTCCAAGTCTTTTCTGGCACGGCGTGTACACAATCAAATTCAAGAAAGTTCCTGGTCCGGCACCAGTTTCTGACAGTTAGTGTATCATTTGAGTAGACATCAAATTCTCGCTCATGTTTCCTCTGTTACAGACAAATCAGATTCAGGCAAGAAGCGTTCGTCAACGCCCCTGCTCTCTTCTCTCGCCGAAGACGTACCACATGCGAAGGTCCTCCGCTTACTTCGCGTTCTCTATCAATTGAATACACTGGAAGCAGAGGGCACGCTATTCAACGGTGAGAAGCGAAACTTGCCAGAGACTGCATTTGTCAACAACAAGCTGAGCGCGAAACTCACTCGCCAACTCGAGGAAACTATGATTGTTGCCAGGTGTGTATGTCTGTTCTGATCAGTGCAGGATCTGACTCAGACGGTCCGTATCTACTAGCTCTTGCCTACCCGACTGGGCTCTTGACCTACCTCAGCATTTCCCTTTCCTCTTCCCTTTTGCTACCAGATATCACTTCCTTCAATCCACCTCCTTTGGGTACGCCCGTCTTATCCTCAAGTGGCAATCACAGCAAGCCCGTGGAGGCCAAGACAGCTCTCGGAGAGACGACGGTATTGGGTTCCTCGGACGACTCCAGCGCCAAAAGGTCCGTATCTCAAGGAAACACATCCTCGAGAGCGCCGTGAAGGTGTTCGAACTGTACGGCTCATCGTCTTCGGTACTTGAGGTCGAGTACTTTGAAGAAGTAGGCACGGGCTTGGGACCGACTTTGGAGTTTTATGCGTTGGTATCCAAGGAGTTTGCGAGGAAGGATTTGAAGATATGGAGGGACTCGGATAATGGCGCACCAGAAGCTGATGCGAGTCCTTTCGTACATCATCCGACTGGTTTGTATCCGGCACCGATTGGAGCTGAGGATATCGCGAATGATGGAGGACAGTGAGCATCTTTGAGTTTTCTGTCTTTGTGAGTGAGACACTTATTGTTGGCATGATAGAAAACGTACACATATATTCCGCGTTGTGGGGCAATTCGTAGCAAAGGCACTCTTGGACTCACGGATCATCGATCTGTCGTTCAACAAAGTTTTCCTCAAGCTTGTTTTGGAAGAGGATGTTCCATTGACTGTTGCGACGCTACAGGTATGCAAGTTGTCCTGATCCCAGAACCATAGCCTGATCATATCGGCATTTGTAGCTCGTTGATCCCGATCTGGCCAACTCCTTGACCAAACTCTTGAATATCGCTGCGGCTGAAAAGCAGCCGCCTGTGAATGACAAAGTATGTTTTCATATCTTTCCAATGTCTCGTGTGTGTGTGTCAATCTGACCATGTTGTCCAGCTTGCAAGAAAGCTTGCGCTCATCGAAGGATCGGTCACTGTCGAAGACCTCGCGCTTGATTTCACGCTTCCTGGGTATGATATTGAGCTGAAGGTGCGCCACAGTTCAATCAAAGAACAATTGCGGATTGAGCTGACTGATTATCTCTTTGCCGTTGTCAGCCTTCTGGCAAAGACATCGCCGTAACGACATCTAACGTTCAAGAATATGTCCAACTTGTCCTCGATGCTATCCTGGGCTCTGGCAGTGCATTACAAGCCAAGGCGTTCCGAGAAGGATTCAGCAAGGTCTTCCCGATTGGTGACCTTCAAGCGTTCACTGTGGAGGAGCTGGTAATGTTGTTTGGGAATGGAGACGAAGATTGGAGTGTGGAGAGTGAGTAATTTTGTCTTCTCTCCTTATTGTCGTTCTCATGGTTCTGAACACTGACATTGTTCGTCTATCATAAAGCACTGGGAGAAGCACTTAAAGCAGACCATGGGTTCAACCCCGAAAGTAGGGCCATCAGGGATCTCGTGGAGATCATGGCAGAGTATGATGCGAGCACGAAAAGGGACTTCTTACAGTTTATTACTGGTAGTCCCAAGCTCCCTATCGGAGGTGAGTCGGTTTCCTCATAAGAATTTATCGAACGGTCCTTGACAACGTACCAGGTTTCCGAGGTCTGAACCCCCAGCTCACCGTCGTACGCAAACCGCACGAGGCGCCTCTAACGGCAGATGATTATCTGCCTAGTGTGATGACGTGTGTGAATTATCTCAAGTTGCCCGAGTATTCGAGCAAGGGGGTTATGAGGGAGAAATTGGGTGTGGCGATTAAAGAAGGGTTGGGGAGTTTCCATTTGTCTTGAACATGTTGAATCGAACATGGCTGTGTGGCAATAGGCGATCTGGTTGTTAGATGCGGAAGAAGAAGAAAGGTATTCGGAACGAAATGAAGTGAATGGATATATATCCATAGTGTATAGACTTATACGAGGAACTCTTTTTCTTCTCCTTCTGTTTCTCCCTATCTGTGATTGTTGCTTTCCGTTTTTCTGTGTTGTCTACTCCATTTCCTTTCCTTACTGTTTAAATCCCTCCAAATTCTGCAACATGCACTGCGCTGCTCCCAGCCAGTGTTCATCATCGTTCTGATAATAGTACAGTAGTCATTTGTTACTCAGTTTTTCCCGACTGTTCTTTCTTAACGCTCGAGCTTTGCTATTTTTTCTCCATTTCTCAGTATAGGTAGACATTTACTTACAAGATAACTACATAGTATATATATGCATCGTATGCCCAAGACAGCCCACTTAAAATCTCTTGAAATACATTTGCTCATTCAAACGTTCTCAGATTCCAAAAACTAGCTGCGACAGCTTTGTCGAAGTCTTGAAGAACAGAGTTTCAATTTGCTGTGTCCACAAAAATTCTGGACAGAAGAAGAGTCCTAGTCAGGTCTAACCAGGACTCGAACCTGGGTTACGGGAAGATTGGAAAGTAGGGATGAATCAAAATCCCGTGTGCTAACCTCTACACTATTAGACCATAATTTGGGGCTTATATTTAGTGGCTGTGTACGGCGTGTTTGGGCCGTGACACGGTCTTGGAAAAAAACATCCCGGTTTGCCAAGAGCTCCTCGTTCTCTTGAAAACGTACCACCATGGCGTCTGCGTCAGGAAGCTCAGCTTCAGTCGCCTCTTCATCGTCTCCGACATCTTCAAGTAGCTCCACTAGCTCCTCCAGTTCGTCCTCCTCCAGCTCGAGCAGCTCGAGCAGTTCTTCTAGTATCTCCTCAAGCTCTGCATCCGCTTCATCCGCTTCATCAGCCTCGAATACCTCATCCGATACCAGCTCAAGCTCTACCTCGTCTAGCTCAACTTCCTCGACTTCAACGTTAACCGCATCTTTGGCGACCGATGTTACATCCACTGTCTTATCCACCTCTTCTGATGGCCAAGTTTTTACCACCGTCATTCGAACGTCGATCACCTTGCCTCCAGGAGCCACTATAACCTCTGTCTCCTCATCCGGCTCCAACAGCTCTTCATCCGATTCACACACAGGAACGATAGTGGGTGCAGTCGTAGGCGGCGTTGCCGCCCTGACCCTCGTTTCTGTGTTACTCGGTCTATGGTGGAGACGACACCGAAAATGGAAAAACTCTCTGAGCGATTTTGATGGGAACTTTGACCCTGATAGGATTGCCACCACGAAACCAATGAAAGGCGAGCCGAAAGGTCTGAGGGGACAGGGACCTACGTTGCCTGATGTAGGAAATGGAGTAGAGAACGGGGTGGAGGATGATGGAATGGGTGGAAGGTTGGCTGGATCATCGCTTGGTGCGGGAGTCGTCGCTCCTTATCCGTTGTATCATCCCACGAATTCTCAACAACCACAACGCACCCCTCCTGAAATGTCCGCACAACATTCGGGTGTGTCGACGACGTATCCAACCTCAAGTCAAGGTGGTCACTCGACCAACCAAGTGGCCAGTGGCAATGGTGTCCCAGCGTCAGTGTATGCTGCTGCATATGGAGACCAAGGCCGAGGCCAAGCACCTGGAACGCCTTCTGCAACAGGAAGTTCCAGTACTACACCGTACGGTTTCGGTCCAGGCGAACAATTGCCTAATCCCTACCCACAGAACACAAATCAACCCGGACCAGGGAGTACCGTCTCTGCCTCGACTTACTCCACTCATACCAACCAAACGAACCCAGGCTTCGGCCGGTTCAGTGTTGCAAATCCAGACGAAGGAGGTCCCGGTCCTTCCTCTGGGGCGTTCATCGGTGGTTTCACTCCCAACGCGATGTCTGGTCGGCCAGAGAAATCCGCCGCAGGTCCCGGTGCGGGGAGAATTCCGAGGGAGGTTCTGGTTCATCAGGATGGGGGAAGGGTTGAGGCGGAGGGAGAACAAGAACGAGAGGAGGCAGAGGGTCCAGAGGAGATTCCTCCGACGTATGAGAGTTTGGTGCCTGGTGGAAGCGGAAGTGCAAGTGCGAGTGGCATGCGGGAAAAGCGGTGAACACCTTTCTTTGAGAATGTCTTGGATCAGACTTTTCTTCATACCATTCTTCTCCTGCAATGAATTTGGATACCATTCACTCATTATTCATGGTGATTCTTATAGGCTGTTCTCTTATTAATGATAATTCCTGTTTCCTTTCTCTTGCAGTACCCGCTCGTCTTGTCCTCCTAGCTTTCTATGACAGACACTGTTTGATGGTTATACAGTTCTCAGTACATATTCTATTTAGTGCCCTCTTATGACTGTAGCTTGTGTACCGTACTCTGTATTATTTTCCGACTTGATTACTCAATATCGCTATGTATTTGATCATGACCAGGAGCAGGTCAACACAGAGAGATATCTATTCCTGTGGAAGACGCGATAGATTGTTTACAAGTTGAACAGCTCCTTCAGAGAGGAGAGCACAGAGCCACTGTGGTCTAATAGTGTAGAGGTTAGCACACGGGATTTTGATGTCATGCCAATTTTCCATGGTTGACTTCCCGTAACCCAGGTTCGAGTCCTGGTTAGACCTGTAATTTTTTCGTTACCGCATTGAAGCTGGCGGGCCCAACGGTTTTATCAGCACGTTCATAGGCTTGCTTATGTTTTGTGTAGCGGCAGTTCGTGTGCGAGAGCTTCACTACTATCAATCCTCGCAATCAGTCTTCCTCAATGAATGTAAATATGCATAGCCTGATTTACAGCCCTAAGAGCCCTTGCTTTACTCTTCATTCTTTGTTGCTCGAGGTCTTTATGTGAAAAAGTGCTAGCGATCTTGTCATTACATTCTCATAGTACTAAGAATCTTCTGACTTGGCCTCTTCTTTTACACCGTATTTGGACGTATCTACGCCATGATGCGGGTGGTTGACGAAGTTGAACCTGCGAGTAGAGTAGACATTAATTAGTTCATATGAAAGACCTAGACTTATCAGAATCGAAGACGCACATCGGAAAGGCGGCTGAGAGCAGGATGATGTGAGATCAATGGACTCTAATACCGAGATTTAATACGAGACATACAGAATTTGAGCTGCGAGAAGACAGAGTTTCGATGAGCAGCACCTTGCACCCACGGTGATTGGTGTGATTCTCCATAGAGTGATTTACCCTCCTTTGCCCGTTGAGAAAGCTCCGCAAAGTCCATTTCTTCTTCCCGTTTGTTCTCTGTCCATCCGTAGAACCGCACTGGAAAACAGTATAAACGAACAGGTCGGTTCAACTGGAAGCGGCTACGCACTGCTAGAGTTCTGATATGCCAGCATAAATCCACCACAGAAACCGAGGAACGCAGCAACCTTCATGCCAGTCACCATCCTCCTCGTCACAATCTGAATTGCGTTTCCTACTGCCATTCGGCCTGCAGGCAGCTTTTCACCTGGTGCAAGGGTTATCCGATTAACCTTGAGTCCACTTGGGTCGGCCATTTCTGCACAAAATTGATTTAGGATGGAGGAGAAGAGTCGAATAGATTTAGTGGACTGGTTATAAGAACATTAGGGTACTCACCCCAAGCTAACAGCGCGCCAGGAACAGCGAGAGTCGTTGCGGCCCAGGTAGCATAGTCGCTGGCTCTGAAGTATCTGACTACACGAGAAAAGTGAGGGTCGATGTCGAGTACAGGGTAGGGTGTCTCCAAAACCTTTTCAGGCATGGCTGGACGTCAATGAGATAGATAAATGTGACCTAATGTGACGACCTGTGACCAAACACACTAAGAGTCACAGTCACAGATCGTCACACGAGGCTCAAGCCAGCCGGCTGGCTTACTCGGGAGTCGGCGCCTTGTGTGAATTGTTCTCTTGTCCTTGTACTACCACATTTCCTGCATTCGCCTCCCTTCGCGAGCTAGCGAGAACGACGATGAGCGGACCGTCTCGTCGAAATTCTTCACGTGGGGGCCACTTAGCATCACCGTATGCGCGTCCGTCAGACAGGCCCAAGAAATCGGTGATCATCTTTTTTATTAACTGGTTCCTTCGAATATTTTTCTAAAATATTTTGTAGTCTTGGTCAATTAGGAATCTCTTAAGCTTCTTGAATCCATATAGCTCGAAGTATCAGGATGAGTATTATCTTTCTCAACATAGAAGCAACCCAGAGGCAGCAGCAGCCGCGGAATCGCTGTCTTCCAGAGGGCATCAGGTGGGTTTCCTCTGAATTTCGTCATTGAGGACTCATGCTCAGGCTTTACATAGATCTCTCAATCAATCAACGAAACCAACGACCAACAGACATCTCCAGTCGCACAACCACCACCTTCGGCCAGCCCCGCTACACCTTCACGCTCACCGACGAGCGCCACGTTTGGTAGCAGTGTCAATCCAGAGTCTCCGCAAAAAGGACTGGATTATCTCAAGCAGTATCTCGGTGAACGTCCCGCGGATGAACCGCTCAGTTCCACAGAGGCAGCGGAACTTATTTCCATCATCCAGAAAAGTACTCCCGGTAAATCTTATTCTTGTGTACTTCTCCTGTCTACTCGGAGCTAACTTGCTCATTTCTTCCTCTCAAGTCGAAGAGCATGAAACTTTCAGATTCTCTACCCCCACTAGCAATCCAACGACACCCCTCAGAGGAAACACTCCTCTCTTCCCTTCGACCAACAACATCAACACTGTCCCGTTCTCATTTTCCCCTTCGTACACCGCCAACGCTCCAACCACACCTTCTCCTGCAAAACCTCTTCTGCTGAAACAAAACCCCAACGGCACATATCGTTGGGAAGGCGGCGGCAGCGCGAAACAGAAGCAGGAGAGAAACGGACGTTCGAAGAACAGATATCATTCTCCTGCGTTTGGGCCTCCTCCGAGATCTTCGTCCGGACGGCTTGTGTTGCGAGAGAGTCCGGAGAAGGCTGCTGAGCCTGTGAAAACTGATACCAAGAGACGGCGGGTGGGTGGAGAGATATCATCTAGTACTCCCAGTGGATTTTCACCACTCGTCCGTTCACCTGCACCTGCCCCTTCTCCGACTAGAGCTGCAGAGGCTCGGCGGATTCCAATAAGTGCTACCCCAAGTCGAACGTCGTCCTCTCAGATTAAACCCACAGAAGAGTCTAAAGCTCCTTCGGCTTCTACCTCAACGACGTCTTTGAACGGGGTGAAATCATCGACGCCGATTGCCCATCTACGAGCCTCCTTAAAGCCTACTACGCCAGCCCGTCCGTCACCATTGCGTCAAGCATGGGGACAGCCCTCATCTCCTACACCTTCGTCCAAGTCATCTGATGATGGACATTCTCCAATCAGCAGCATGACAACAACGACGACGAAGAAACCGAAGACGATGGTATCGCAGAAGGCAACAAAAACCGCGAGCTTCATGAGCGAATTGATCAAGGAGGTGACCCCGGTGAAGAATCTGGATGTGAGTAATCCGTATCAGGCTGCGAGTCCTGTGAAGATTGTCGGGAATGCGAAGCCGAAAACGAGGCCGACCAGGAGGACTAGGGCCTCTGGGAGACCGTCTGCCCCACCGGAGGGATTGGTGAGTAATGGGAAGGTAGATGATGGGAAGGGGAAGGAGAGGAATGGTGTAGGAATGGAACAGGAGAAAGAAAAGGAGAAAGAGAAAGACTTACTGGAAAAGTATTCTGCCCAGGATATCCTCTCAGCTACGTTACCCAAGGTATGGCGGCCCAAATCACTCGCTTACGCACTTTATCTCATATATCAATCAACACAAACAGGGAAGCAAACGTTCTCGAGCGCCCGATAATCTTGGGAAAGGACTCCCGAATGGTCTCTCATCTGCGCGCTCAAGTTCTCCTCCCAAGTCAAGGGTCGAACCCAAGCAACGCTTCTCAACCGTACCTCAAATTGAGGAGGTAGAAGATGAAGAAGATCAGGATGAGAGATCTCGTTCGAACAAAAAATCCAAGGGATCTGGATCCGAATCTCAACCTAAGTATACCCTCCCGACTTCTTTTCCTCCCCCTATGGTGAATGGGCATAGTAGTAACAGAAAAACAGCAAGCCCTGTTCCTGCCGCTCCGATCATTGAAGAAATCACTGACGATGATATGAACGGTGGCTCTAAGCAGGCCCTCACGACGCCTTCGGAAGTTGTTGAGGTTGGGAATGGAAGTAGTGAAGGAAAGAACAAAACATCAGGATCAGGTCCACTGGCTTCGTCCTCTCCGTTCTCGACATCAACAACGAACAAATCTTCCATGTTCGGTGCTAGCGGGAGTGTTCAAAAGAACAGTGCGATTCCCAGGGAGCCGTCGAAACTTCGATTCAGCTACAAACCCGAATCAGCAACGCCCACGCCTTCTGAGACGTCTCCGACTACAAGTAACGGTGTCGGTGAGTCAGCAGAGACAGTTGCTACAACGGAAGCAACATTTGGGTTTGACACTAGCAAGAGTACGAAAGTGACTACAGCTACAACACCTGCGTCTTTCGAGTTCGGGACAAAAGCGGCAGGAACACCTTCCTTCCTTGGCCCCGCTCAGGTTGCTTCACCGAGCACCACAGTTCCCGTCACCTCTTCTCCTAAACCGAAGTCGACGGCCAACTTCAAAGAACATGTTCAAACTTTGCCTGTGACCTCCCTCCCGGTCTTCTCATTCGATGATGAGACGCCGGTGGCTTCAGGTTCTGGACTCTCGTCTGGAAGTGGGAACAGTGTCGTCAAAGCATTAGCAGCAGCGAAGGACATTCCCATGTCCAAACTTCCTCTGTTCGATTTTGACGCTGTTCCTGTTGCCGTTGCTTCTTCCTCAGCTGCTCCCTTGGCCTCCACCTCCAAAACGTTCAACTGGGCTGCAGCAGGTATCAAGCCTCCTAGCACCTCTGAGTGGACTTGTTCTGAGTGTAAGCTCAGTAATAAAGATTCTTCTGCAGATAAATGTGCTATTTGCGAAGCTCCCCGGCCTGGAAAGGCACCTAAAGCTGCTCAACCAGCGACATTTGACTGGTCAGCGGCTGGGATGAAGAAGCCTTCGAGTACGAATGGGACTGCTGGAGGGGGTGATGCAGAATGGACATGCTTGACGTGTATGCTCAAGAACCCTGCTAGCGCTGTGTCGAAGTGCGGTGTATGTGAAGCACCTAGGCCTTCAGCACCTTCTGATAACACAAATCCTTCTCTTGCCGCACCGCCCAAGGCTCCGATCCAAAGTTTCAACTGGGGAGCAGCAGGTCTGAAACCACCAGAACCAAAGCCTGGGGCATGGCAATGCGACGCTTGTGGGTGTACAAATCCAGAAAAGGCTGTGAAGTGCGAGGTTTGTGATGCATCGAAGTGATTTTCCAGTTTTTCTGTTTCTTGAATCTTGTTAAGTAGTACTAGTTCATCCTGGATTTCCGAAAGTTACATACATACATAGCACTTGAGCATTGATACAACAAACTCCCCATGGGACGGTTGCATATAATACTATCGCAGTGTGCTTCGGCTTCGAATCCAGAACATCAGAAAAGTCAGAACAGAGAACGAGTCTGCGTGCGAGTCCGTAGTGACAGGTAGTGAGTCTTCTATTGTGCAGATCGCCTCCCTTCGACCTGAAGCTGCTAACTCGTTCGA